CTACCTAGCTTTTTTCCCACACAAATCTTCTTCGTTCCCCCGTCGAATTCATAAGCGCTGCATTTACTACATACCCTCTTTTAATTACAATCTCCTGCAACTGAACCCAGCAGTGTCATATAACTGGAACCGCTGATATTTTCTCTCTGTGATCCTATCAAACACGATCAATATAATACCGTCCTGGATCGTACTCGACCATAATTCCGTCTTATCACCAAATTCTACAATGCAGCAGCCAGGTTCTAAACTTCCTACTATGAATGCTGACGCCACTGGCTTCTCTCACGGAGCTTACACCTCAAACAACATGGGATTTGGCGATCGCAACTCTCGTAGAGCCAATATCCCTTCCATCAATACCGGTATGAATGGACAAAACCCTGCGGAGGTGACTGCCCCAGGAACGGCCGCCTTTGATATGAACTTCACCCCGCTCCTCCCATCTCAGCTTCTTCTTGGAAGCCCATTCCAGCCTGGCACGCCGTCTGCCTTCACTTCTCCCCAGTTCACTGGATTCCAAGGTTTCCCCCAGGCCAATGGGTCAGGACACAACCAGAACCAGAACCAGATGGGCAGCCCTACTCAGGCTCACCAGAACGCTCTCTCACCGCAGCTGTACCAAAGCCTGATGTCACCAGATGGATTCAATGCCTCTCAGCTCATGGCTGGCCCTCAGTCTCCAGTTGGTTCTTTCCCTGGATTTGCCAATGCAGCTTTTGGTGCCGCGAATGTCTCTCTCCAGGGACCAGGGATTATCTCGGGAACAAGCCGGACCGTTTATCTGGGAAACCTTCCTCCCGAAACATCGGCAGAGGAGATCCTAGGCCATGTTCGTAGTGGCCAGATCGAGTCAGTTCGGTTGCTTCCGGATAAGAACTGTGCTTTTATCTCGTTCTTGGAAAGCAGTTCAGCCACTCACTTTCACTCCGATGCGATTTTGAAGAAACTTGCTATTAAGGGAAATGATATCAAAATCGGCTGGGGTAAGCCATCACAGGTACCAACATCCGTGGCATTGGCGGTCCAGCAATCCGGAGCCTCGAGAAACGTTTACCTAGGGAATCTCGCGGAGGATGTTACTGAGGAGGAGTTGCGGGAAGATCTGGGTAAATTTGGGCCAATCGATACGATCAAGATTGTCAAAGAGAAGTCGATTGGATTTGTGCATTTCTTGTCCATCAGCAATGCGATTAAGGCTGTTACCCAGCTACCCCAAGAGACGAAGTGGCAAGCGCCAAAACGTGTCTACTATGGGAAGGACCGCTGCGCCTATGTTTCCAAGACCCAGCAGCAGAATGCTGCCCAGTATCTCGGCATCGCTCCAGGATATGCTCACATTCTCAACTCAGCTGATCGTGATCTGATCTCAAATGCATTGGCCCAGCAATCTGTTGCAGCGGCCGCTGTTGCCACCTCCGCTGGTGGTGTAAACAATCTGGGAAACCGAACCGTTTACTTGGGAAATATCCACCCTGAAACGACGATTGAGGAGATTTGCAATGTCGTACGAGGCGGCCTGTTGCACCACATCCGCTACATTCCTGACAAACACATTTGTTTCGTCACGTTTATTGACCCGACATCTGCCGCCTCCTTCTATGCTCTTAGCAACTTACAGGGTTTGATGATCCATAACAGGAGACTTAAGATTGGTTGGGGCAAACATTCCGGCGCTCTTCCACCTGCCATCGCGTTGGCAGTTAGTGGCGGGGCATCGCGCAATGTGTATATCGGCAACCTGGATGAAACCTGGACCGAAGAACGCCTTCGCCAAGATTTCTCTTCGTATGGTGAAATCGAATTGGTCAATGCCTTGCGTGAGAAGAGTTGTGCTTTCGTCAACTTTACCAACATTGCCAATGCCATCAAGGCGATTGAGGCAATGCGCAGCCGGGAGGAATACAAGCGTTTCAAAATCAATTTTGGAAAGGATCGTTGCGGGAACCCTCCCCGCCAGATCAACAGTAATGGCCAGAACAGAGGTGATGGCCATCAGTCCTCCCCTACTTTGAACGGGAACTTACAACAAAACGGATCACAATCAAGCCCAACGAGGCCAGCGCTATCCCCTGCACCAGGATCCACAAGGTCACATTCCCAAAATGGACATGGCCGGCAAATCCCACTTGCCCCAACCCCGTCTGCCATCTTGAATGCTGGAAGCAACAATCCCCTGACACTATATCTGAACCAACTTTCTCAGCAACAGGCGCAGGAGCAAGAGAACCGTATGAATGACCCCATTGCTTTGGCAACCCTTCAGCAGCAACAACAGCAAGCACTCGCCCATCAACAAGCCACCCTCTATAACGGCGCAGGATCAAATGACCTGTCAAATGGAAACTCAATGCATCAGTCCAAAGGATCCACTCACGGATTTCTGAATGTTTCAGCTGGTACACCAACGTCGACACACCACGCCACTAGCGGTAATTCCCTGAATGTCCCGCGATCACAACATTCTCGCGCTGTCAGCCTCCCATCTTTCTCGCAAGAGGCTTTCGGTCAGGGTTCAAGCCAACCGCACCAAACCCGCGGTGGAATAGCTCATCACCAAGCTCAGGGAAGCTTCTCAGGCTTTGGCGGCGGTCTCGGTGGGCTGAACCACAACGGATTTGGGTTGTCTATCCCTAACGAAGGGTCTCTCCCTGGCTGGGTTGAAGAAGAGCTTGGGGCGAAATGAGCCATTCCGCAACTCGTCCTGAACTTTTAATCGTTTCGATTTCATGCCCTTGTTTTCACCTTTTTTGGCTTCATTTCAGGTTTTTATTTTTGTATCTCATTTACTTATTTGACTACCCTACTTTTTCTTTTCACCTTCCTATTCTTGTATTGGTTTATAATTATGTTGTTTAAATTTTGACTTAATTTTCGCGAACCTTACCTAGCCTTCATTCCCCCATGATGCGCCCAAAGGCCGGCGTGTCTTGTTCATTTTTAATTTAATTTTTTCTTGCGGCTTATTTGACACGCGGCCCTCCCGGTTGCTAATCGATTCACCAGCACTTTAATCCGAGGAAGCGAAAAAGCTGAAGACGAGGGTTTGAGCACAAGGTACACCCATCCTAGACCATATGGTTGCCTTATTACTATCTTTTTTTTTTTTTTTTTTTTTTTTTTTTTTTTGATTTCATTGAAACCTTCATTTTGCATGCCTCTCTTTCTAGCTTTGTTTATCTGCCCTTGTTTTCTTTCCCTTTTCTCGTTATGCTAGTTCTAAACCTATCTCATCTTATCTATGTTGCTCTGTTTTGCTTTTTGTTTTTTTTATCTACCATTATTCTATTTTACGATGCCGTATTCGAGAATTTATTTAATACCTCCGTCTCCCCCCACTTTTTTCTGCTTTGGACTATGCTGCATCTGCATTGCTATCATCGTCGTCATCGTCATCATCATTATCACAACCACCACGTATATGAACTGGTTTTTGGTTGTAGTTATTTTATTTTCTCCCTTTTGGTTCCGTTTGCCCCCTACGTGCAGGTTAGTTAATACATGGAAGATGAGAGGAATTTATAGAAGAGATAAAGATTTCAAATCAGCAGAAAAAGGCTGTAACGGTTGACAAAGCGCAATTGTTTCGTTGGTCATATGCTGCTTAAAAGAGTGCTCGTTGAAATTGGAATGGATTGCTTGACAGGGGGCATAACCTGTGATACCCTCTAGTCTTCCCCTTACTATTAAAATATTCTTATATACAGTTACCGATAGGAAGAAATACAAAACAGGGTTAATTATGATTCAATAAAAAGGTCTCGCTATGACCTGAAGTTTAAGGTTTTATATCATGTGATGCACCGGAACGACTAGCCCTTCCAAGCTTTAGGCTTTATCTCTCATTCTTGCCGCAGAACAATAACGTCAACATCAAAAATAGAACTCAACGGAAGCTATGTTTCCACACGGCTAAACTTCAACCCTTTTATTATCAGGAACCCGCATTAACTTGACGAGGACTTTGTTACTTTTGTGGTTTGACCTATTCGATCCTTCGTGACAAACGCTGTCTGTGTCTGCCCTTTTAACGCTGCGCAGGTAAAGTCGTATCATATACACAGCGTAAGGATATTGGGGGAGCGAGGCAAGCTACTTTGTGACGGAGATCAAGGGGGAGGGCGCAATATTTTCCGTCCTTTTTATATAGGAAAGAAACGTAAAGTGATAAACATGTCGTTGCCGCCGGAACATATTCGAATCAAGCGGAGGAGAGAGGAGGAGCCGGTTGAAACTTTGTGTGGGTGCTTTTCCTTTTTATATAACCCTCTTGTTTTGAATGCAATTTTGAACGTGGCTTGCCAGGCGTATATTGCTGCTCTGGATGAATGGCTAGATATCCATTTCTAGCTTTTCAGGCCGCATGTATTCGAAATTCTGGTGTTCTTGTTTTACCATTTATGAAGCACTCAAGTTTCAAATCGGTATCTTGAAAGGCAGGCTTCTGCTGTTGGGTTCTAATGTTTTTACTCCGCGTTTACCGGCCTTTTTTCGTTTTTCTTTTCTTTTATTTTTTGCCCAGGACTCTCCCCTTCTGACTCACTGATCGATAGATATTCAATCTCAGATACATCAGCCCAAAAGGCGGTACACGGACTTCTGCTTTCAGCGTGTCGTGCGAACGCCTGATGGCGGTGTTAGAGCCAAGGCCGGTGTCGACGCATCACCCACACTTTCCCCTGGGGAGTCTATCACGGGCCCCAGGTCAGTGAGTACGTCTAATATCAGACTTGGGGTACCGCTTGTGCGAGCGACGGTTCCTAGATCAGAGTTCCAAAACAAGCCAATTATGTCAAAGAAGGAAGGCTTATTAGGGAAAGGCCTTACCCCTCCGTCCGCATCGTCATCATCGGCCTTGCGAACCTCGCATGCTGCTAAATGCTCTGTTACTCCAGTGAAAAATCGCTCCGGGTCTTCTTCGGTTATAAGCTCCCCTTCCTCTGCTCTACGTCGGTTTCATATAATCGTTCCTAGTGGCGATTTTACAAGTCCCTCCCGAAAGCTTCTACATAAGGTCTCGGGAGGCATCCAAAAGAATAGAGGGAATCGGGTAATGAGCCGGGCAGTGGTCATCGAAAAGCGACCTCATCAAGTAGATGATGTGAGGGCGTCGATTGTACTTGATGACCTAGCAGCCAAGATAGGGGAAGTTAAAGTCAGTGGTGATGCTCCGGGAGCGTCACCTACAGCCCCGAAGGGCATTACCAAGTCAGCTGTTACGGCCGAGATATCAACCACTCCTGCTACTCCAAGAAAGCGTCATGTTGTCAACGATGCCGAGAAGCGATGGAGGGCAGAATCTAAAGCATCCCGATATTTCGATCGAGCGCAGCAAGCTCGAGAAAAGGAGCAAAGAATGAAAAGTGCTCAGTCCATGCACGAAGATCCAAGCTTATGGGACCATGATTCTGATCAGCTTGCTACGGAGCTGGCAGAATTTGCCCATGAAATAACTGCTGACTCCGAAATGTCTGGATTTTCTCCTAAGGCTCCTCCACGAACTCCTCCACGAAGGCCAGGTCGGTTCGTTGGAATCTCCCCGAACAAACACGTTCTTACACATCGACCGCGGCTTCCGAAAGTGAGCGATGATTCGTTAGGGACATCACGTACAGGTTTTGACGGAGCAGGTGATTCTGGTGATGTGAAGCACCTCATAGATGCTGCCCTATCTACGGATGCTTCAATGGTTGAGCTACCACGTCAGCACGATGAGGTAGACGTTAGGGACAGCAACTTCATCCCACCAAAGAAACAGATTGCGACGTTTGAAACAGCTAGCGACCTTGATAGTGAGGATGACAATGACGAGAGCTATGTTTACGATGAATTTATTAGGCGCCCCGTTGCGGAAGTCGCTGCTGATCCAAACACTGCCCATCTTCTTAACGGCGAGTGGGCTAGTGAACATGGAATTGCGCCGAAAGATATTGGTGTGGTAGTGATTACGGAAGAAGATATTCACTTCTGGGAAGCCTTTGCAGAATCCGACGAGGAAGGGAAAGGGTGGGATTCGGAAGATGAAGATTCTAATGGTACTTTACTTTTTTACGCTCTCTAATTGAAATATTCCTCCTTGTCCTTACCTACCTTGCTGTTTTCATTTGCCTTTTCATTCAACTATCTTCCTCCTTGCCACTCGTACGGTACCCAGGCGTTAGTTTCTGGTGGTTGCTGACATTTATTCCTGTTATAGCTGAAGATAACCCAGCAAATGAATACCCCGATGATGACCTAGACTTCGATGACGAATTTGATGACACCAATGCGGCTTACAGAAATTATCGCCACAATGCGTCTGACGATGAAGAGTTTGATCCAGACTATGAGAATTATGAGTATGGATGTGGTGTTTCCCATGGCGGCGACTCCGATGATGATTACTAGACGGATTACGTAGTTGGTTGGAAATCCTTCTCGCGCCAACTTAGCACGTATAGGGCTAGCTTTACATAACTTCAAAACATCGCCACAACGTGAAATGAAATTGGAGACGTCTTTCTAACGTTTACATGTCGCTAAACTGGCTTATTAGGATTTGGGATGCTAGTTGTCCTGGCTTAGTGTTATACCCTCCGAGGGAGAAGGGGACGAGGGGGCCACAACGGTTACATGATTTTTATTTTTTTTATTTTTTTTATTTTTTATTTTTATTTTTATTTTTAATCGTGCATGGATTGTATGTATATGTAAGATAACAGGGGGATCGAGAAGCCAACTGAGGTATGGAGATAGGTCTGACTTATTTTTTCTACTCAGTGTGTTGAAGAGCCACTGCAGGAATAGAATAACATGTGTGTGGACTTTTCTTGAATAGCAGGTTAAAACAATATTAGCAGATGGGGGCCTGCTTTTGTGGTCTAAGCTTTCTCTTACCTCTTACTCCTACTGGGATAGATACACCCTACAATGTCTCACCGTAAGTTTGCCTTTGGCGCAATGCTGGAAGTTTCCAAAAAAAAAAAAAAGAAAAAGAAAAAGAAAAAGAAAAAGAAAAAGAAAAAGAAAAAGAAAAAGAAAAAGAAAAAGAAAAGAAAAGAAAAGAAAAGAAAAGAAAAGAAAGAAATTCGAAAGAAATTCCATGTGTGTGCACGGGTCTGGGATCTTTTGCAAGTTAATTTGTATCTAGGTCTGTTATGACGTCCATATACATGTATTCCGTGCAAATACTCTATACATATATCTAAATATATTTATATCAAATACAACAGAGACGGCAGAGGATTCTCCCCCTCTCCCCTCGCTATCCTTCTGTCATATCTGTAATTTCTATTTTTATTCCGGAAGCAGAGTATAATAAAGTATAATAGTAGCTGAAGGGAGCTGAACGTGCTTCTCAGCCGTTTTCGGGGAATTCAAAGTTGGTTTGGCAACCTATGGTATCCTGTAGCCTTTATCAAGGGACGATAAAACTTGCCCATTCCCCCCACCAAATACGTGGACGCGTGGTTAATGACGATTGTTTCAGTTGAGGGTATTTTGGGCACGATAATATAGAGCGCTTTGTGATATATATTCGGGGCTATGCAGAGAGGGTAGGCGATTGGCTGTATTAGGACGTGACGAGTGAACCATCTGGATTTTCTGCTAGATTTTTAATATATACAGACTTATAGATGACCTTTGGTAAGAAGGTTTACATATTTATATATAGTTTTGAGGTTACAAGAGCCCCTCTCGTAGAGGTTGAATGAATGACAGACAATGTTGTAGTAGTAATTGGTAGTGGAAAATTGCCTGTACGTACCTGCTTGGAATCTTCACCTATGTAGTACCATGTTAAGATTATGCGGCGAGTCAGTTGGTGATTAATGGCCAAATCATCTTCATCCGCAATATCGTCTATATTTTGGAGTCTTGGAGGATTTCCCCTGACCGATGATGTACACACAAAAATCATGTAATTAGAGTAAAAGACTGCTTGAGATCTGCATACACCTCAGTGGAGGTAGCCAGATGAGTGGTTGGAAATACATTCTGCCCTCAGACTAAGATGCTGTGGGGGGGAGTCTCCTGCATAGTCTCTGACTGAAATAGGAGAATAAAAGGAATAATAATAATAATAATAGTAATAATCGTCCATATATTTATGCCGAGCCCTTTCGTCATCTTTCTCCAGGGCCACCAAGCATGTAGATCCTTCTTGACTCTATCACGCATATCCCATTTGAGGCCTTACAAACCCCCAGCCAGGGATAAGAAATCAGATCCAGGAGGTTTGACCACAAGGCGTGAATCATTTGACTAGGGTCACTGTCAGTAGCCTTGCCAATGCAGTTTGGATGTACATGTACATTACTTTCCAAGTATTGCCACTCAGCTGCGAATGAGCATATTCTATTTCCCCCATACAACAGATTTGCTGCTATATATAGGCAACGATCTGGCCTAGGAGGGCGGTGGTTAATGCACGTCACCGGCAAGGGAGTAGGTAGTGGTGAGCTAGAGCGTCTTAGATTTGAGAAACCAAAACAATGTGTTGTTCATCGTGCTAGTATATATAAGAAGGAAAATTAATTTAGTCATGGATGGGAAAATGGTAGTGAGGTGATGCATGGGATATGGTATTAAGATCTTACTAAATCAGCATTGTTCGTCGCAATCAAGTTGTTGTGCACTGGACATATTCAGCACATCATCATCTCTGCACCCCCATAATATTGATTTTTCATATTTTTCAAAGACTCTAACTCTTTCTTGTTTATTCTAATTCTAATTCTAATTATGAGCTCTCTAATCTATCCTTCTACACTAAGATAAAAGAGGGTTGAGTGGGGGATTGACAGAGTGTGTGTAATATGGGTGAGGTGTATTTTAGAGGGAGTGCTCAGAATTGTGGGTCTTCAACCAACAAAAAGATTCGAGATGAAGATTAGTTAACTTACATCATTATGAAGAAAAAATAACGCCTCATAGCCTCTAGGAAGCAAACAATAGCACACGCCTGAGGAAAACTGAGGGGATATTCCGTTGGCTTCCACACAACGGGGTCTAAAGCGACCGGCCCCGATCACGTCAGCGCTCCTACTGTAGAATGGCGTGTGGAATGGACAGGCGGAAGCTGGGGGTTAATCTTCTCTCTTCACACGGAGCCGCGAGCGTCCGAAGCGAGGGAAATCTGGCCTCCTGTGAGACAGGCGGTGCGGAGTGGAGGGAGAGCAAAAGTGGGCGTTAGGTGGGGTCCGTCAGCCGCTCGAGATAGCTGGAAAACGAGGGCTAAACTAGAAGTGGGTCAGGTATGGGATCTCAAAATGCCGTGTTGAGTTTAGCGGGGGCTAAGTGAGGACTCAGTGAGGAGTCGGCAGAATCCCTTGAGCGCGCGAAGCAAGAAGGCCGGGGACATTTTGTGGAATCTGTCCGTGGGCCGATGGAGGGAATTATTCGGCACTTAGAAGAAAGAGGAGGGCGTAGGAGTGAAGGGATGTAGTTATATGCCGATGGGACAGGACTCGGAAGCAAAAAAATAATATATAAATATGGGTGGTGCTAAAATGCAATGCTAGATGCTGGAGCAGATATCTTTATACATATAAAACGGAAAACCCAATGGAACGAGTAAATAATAGAGGCGTAGAAAATCATAATATAAGACAACAAGAGTGAAATGAAGGGGGCTAAAAAGAGTATAGAAATAAAAACAAGAGCGCCGAGCCATCTCAGGGAACCAAAACAAACAAAACAAAGACTAAAACAAAAAAGTGCGCGAGAACATGACAGACACCCCCATTCCCCAGGCCGCCGATGATTTATAAGTAGATAGCCTGAAGTTGCCCCTGTCTAAATTCGCTCGCTGCACATGGGACGATTCACCCCGGTTACATCCTGCCGCCAGGCCCAAGCAATTCCTTTTTTAACTCCGGTAAGTAGAGAAAATCAAACCAAAAGAAATCTTTGTGTAAATGCGAGAGAATCGTAATGCTGGATATGGCGATGTTGGCGGTTCAGGCACAGAACAGAATGGTAGGTGGAGAAGCCGAAGATGTTCCGAGCCGCCGAATTCTACTTGTCCGGCCCGGCGATGGAATATGCGACGGTGGGATCGAAAGGCTCCAGGAAACAAAAGAGTCGTAGAATAATAATGGAACTGGCTCGTTATAACTGGAAACAGAATGTCCAGGGTATATAATTGCCACGATAAGCAAAGGGATGGATCATAATCGTTTAAAAAAGGTATGTTTAACAACTTCACTGAGAACCATGCCATTCCCTCATCCACGGAAACCTGACTCCCGTCCACTTGATAACCCCGTATTGCGGTAAATCCTCATTGAAATCACTCCTGGAATTCCCGTCACTACCACTGCTCACGTTTTCACTGCCATTCTCGCCGCTCCCGCCGCCGTTGCCGCCGCTGCGTCTGCGACGCTGTTCTCGGAGCGTCGGACAGTTCTTCTCTTTTATGAATCTGTAGTATTTACACTGAATGCCCTGGAACCCTTTCCGCTGGCGATTGGGAAACTGGGCGTTAAAGCTCTCACGGACCTCCTTCCACTCCTGGCGTAGATCAACGCGATGGTACCAGATGAAATACATTTCTTCTTCATCGTATTTGGGCCGTGGCGCACGGCGTCTTTCGACAATCGCAGACGAGCTACTTGAAACGGATGGGAAGCGTTCTCTCGGGTAGAGGCCTGGAGAAGAGTGTGCGGAAGAGGAGCGTGGGGTCTGGTGGAGATCTGAATATCCTGTATGGCCTTCTATGGATTGATGGTTACTGGTGTGATTCTGAGCTGGGTGGTAATGTGATTGACGATAGGGAAGGTCTGAGTAGTTTTGATGATGGTGTTGGTGTTGATGTTGCTGATAGTGGCGGGGAGAAGTTGGAGGGATGGAAGTGGAGTCAGAGGTATGCCGGGGTGGATTTAGCAGAGCACCAATGGATATTCGAGAGGTTTGTGAATCATTTGCTGGTTGAGGAGGGTATAGGGCTCGTCGTTGGCTGTATTCCATATTGTCTCTCTCCTCGCCCCCTGAAGGAAACTGTCTATAGCAGGTTCGTTGGTCGCTGCGTGCAAGAAAAGAGGAGTCAAGTTCCTCACTTGCTTTGACGTCCGCAAGAGATGGAGCACTTAAGTGCGGTTATATCCTTATAAATTTAAAGAGGAGGATAAATGTAGTCGGAGGTTGCTTTGCTTTGGTACGGCTACTTTCATTGCACTGACGTGATGCCTGTTGAAAAGGAGAGAAAAGTATCGTCCACGAGATCAGCCCAGAATCGAAGGGGAATGCGGGAAGCTTTGCTCCCGGCAAAGGCGTAATCCTTGGGGTTGACCAGGCTGATAAGTTGGAATTGGAGCAAACCCGAGGGATGAGGGATGAATAGGTAGTGAGCCCAGTGGGAAGTTCCAGTATATACTGTACGAAGTCGATATCGAGCTCCCTCGAGAAGCCAGACAAGACGAAGAACAGGGTGGAATAAAGTGAACAAATTTTAGAGTTTATTCGAGAAGCTGGAGTGTATTTCTTTTTATATGGAACAGGCCATGTCCTGGGACTTTGCTATTGTCGTATTCTTGCTGGATATCCTTGTGGAGAAGTCAGGATAGTTGGGCTAGGACGAGATGGGGGGGCCGATCTATACTATCGTCTCAGGATAAAAAAACAAAAAAGAAGCGTCGGTACTAGCCAGCGAAGCGGGATTCGATTATATTTATAGTCTCTGCTGAAATTTAATGTAGAGGCGGCCTTAAGCAGGTTAAAATAATTAAAAAGGAAATAGAGGATAAGAGAGTGAGACGCCTCGTTTTCGTCCACAGTGGAGGAGTCGGAGGGAGGGCGCGGCACTGTTTTATTATATGAATAAATTATCATCATTCGTCCCGCCTGCGCTTCTTTCAGTGCTTAATACCCGTAATAATATGCATGGAGCCCAGCCCAGGCGGCTTTTTCTGCTCTTCATAAACCCTAAACAGCAATAGAGAAAGCCATCGGTACTTGTTAACTGGGCTGTTGGACTGGGTAAATCAAGAGCTAGCAGCCAGCGTAAGAATAATGTAGGGAAACAAAGTCCCAATGCGACGGTAATCATCACCTTACTTGATACATCTGCCGCTGTAATATTCGCATATTATTTATTTAGTTAACGAGCGGATAATCATGCAGGTATTTTATATACGTAAGGAAAAAACCACACCTTCTGCTTCCTTTTTTTTAATCTCCACCCCACAGAGCAGTGCCACTCCCCCCTTTCCCGCCACACCCCTCCTCTGCTCTCCCCGTCATGGATTCATGGCCCACTCCAAACCTGCAGGTTTCTGCAACGATTGCAAGCTGACAGGAGGGCGGCCGCAAACCGCTAGCGGAAAGAAGAGCAGCTTCAGGCCGCTGTTGATAACTACGCCTTCTGAGCTGCTGCTGCTAATTTTGAAAAGCCAAGCCATTCAGTTGCCACCGTCCCAGAAATGACTCGAACGTTGTTTCTGCAGAACCCCACGTCACAGAAGGTATTATTGGTGTCGTCCCGGGGGGGGGGGGGGGGGGGGAAGGAGAGAATCGGACGAAAGCGACGAACAGCGGCTTTGGCTGGAACCTGAAGTTTCCGCAAGTCTCAGCAAGAGGGCCAAAGAGATCGATCCCACAAACCAATCAGGCGCGGCAAAGCGTCCAGCGAAGTTGGCGATTTGGGGGGGATTTTGGTTGGCTAATGCAAAAAGGGCCTTGTATGAGGCTCCGAACTGCTGAAAAACGAGGATCAAACGCGCCGCGGCGTATTGAAAAAATAGACAAGGGTTTGAAAACACTGGTTTTTGTGCAAGTAAGATAAAGGATGGGTTCGATTTTTTAAATTACATACAGACTACAGCCTCCAGCCTACAGGCGCGGTCTTCGCCTTATTTAGTCTGCCAAGTGGGACATGTTCTGCGCCGGGCTCACATGGATTAGAATGGAATGCAAATGATGCAACCCTGCAGAGTCCGGCAAGGGCGAGTGAGCCATTTGAAGACGGCGGAAATATGGGGTTGAAGGCCTCCAGTTAGACGCCAAAATCCTTCCCTGTCGACTATTTTCGGGTCGTAAAATAACGACGTGCAGGAAGTTGATGCTGTATTTTATTTATTTTTATGCTTGTTTGGGTTTGGGTGCGCTGCAGTGGTAACTCGTGGCGCGGTCATCTATTTTAAAACATAATTTGCACTCCTCTGGACACATTATTATTGTGTTCAGCATCCAGTTCACGACGAGACGAGACGAATATAATAGTATAGTATGGCGCTGACAATTCCGTGCCCCGAACACGAGATATAAGTTATTATTATCGTTGCTTTGGTGACTTTTGCACTCCCCCCTCGGGTCGAGACACGCTGGACTTACCGCAAAGGTAAAAATGGAATAAAGAAAATTTATAATAAGCCTATCCCGATAACCAGAAACCAGCACACCATGATCTGCAAGAAGGCAGCCAAGGAGAAATCGAACAGCGTGTATTGGTTCTGCTGTGGTCACCGGGCAGTTTGTATGTACAGGAGCACATCTGTACATTACTAGGCGCAAAAGTATATATCCCCTATCTCCCACTTGCTGGTGGCGAAATGCTGCAGCTCCGGATGTGGGTACCTTACTCTAACGTAATCACAGATTTATACGATTCCCGGCGTTGCAAATGCGTGTTCTGTATCTTCAACAGTCAGAAGCAGATCAGGAACCAAGCGCCACGACCAATCTAAATACGATTGGGGTTGGACAGGCATCTAGAGACCTTGCGCTATTCCTACCTAACTGTAACCAAACGTGCCTGACATTCAACTTGGCATCAAATTTCCCTGTCCAAGGGCGGAATTCGACTGTTGGTGATGGATAGGAGAGGTACAGTGCATGTGAGCTAACGGAACATTATTTTACGCACATATATGCTTGCTCAAAGTTCAAGCTTCCTCAACTCCTGGCTGCTAGATGGGATAAATATAGTATATCCTGCAGCATTATACTGATCTTCACTTTAGGTAGAAATAATACGAAGGGCTCATCGGCGGCGTCCGTTCCGATCCTGCTCCCCTTTATTATTTTTCGGGAATTTAAGGGTTCAAGCTTCGACGCATGCCGCAAAAAGCTCGCCCCAAATTTACCGCGTTTCTAAAATAGCCTTGCATGTTGATTTCGTGTGGAGCCCTTTCTGGAAAGGCAGTGTGATGGGTCCATTTTAGTTTATCGCTGGCGGGGCCGCTAACTGACTAAGTCGAGAGTCGGTGTCGGTTCCACATCGACGGCGAGAGAAAGTTAACCCACTTGACCTGTTCAGCTGTTCCCCTTCATGGGAGGAGTTCGCCCTCTGTTGCCAAGTCGCGAAGGGGCAAGGGCAGCGTGCTAATAATCTAGCACCCATGGATGGCGGGATGGAAGCTCCCGGGTATCCGCAGATATTCATCTCATATTCCCTTGTGCCCCCGCTATCCAGAATTGATTTTGCAGTAATCCGTAGGTGGTGCACTCTATCTGCAATTTGCGAAGGGCTGTTTAGGATATTGTACCAATGTGGGCATCAAGCCAGGAAATTCACCACTGGAAAAATGCCACTGAGAACATGTAGATCAGGGAAATATCCTGATGTAGAACGAAAGCGGAATCACGGAGGGCGAAAGAGAACATCGTTAAGGGAATGACATTTGCCGGATTTATTTTATTTTCCGCCATAAAATGTGATGGAACACCAGGCCATGACGGTTTTGTTTCGACCAGTGAAATGGAACGGAAACTAAGTCGATGTCGTTTAGAGATCGTTGTCGCATGTAAAATGGAATGTGGCGGTGGTAGGCATGTTTGCATGGTTAGAATTTGCAGGACTAAAGGCGTGAGCCTTATCCGTTGTGTGCTCGCCGTAGTCTCATAGGATGGCGATGTACGCCTATAAAAGGCAAAACGAACAAAGCTTTTTGCTGCGGAAATCTATCCGAGAGGATGAGCAAAGAGCAAGGCCACATGCAGTACAAATGTCGAGAAGCGTTCTGGAAACGATAAAAGCAGGAGACAGGTCCGGAGCGCAGTGCTTCAGCATGTCCTGTACCAGCAAGGCACATGACGCTCTCGCAGACGTCGCATGAAGGCCCTACGACGATGCATACATAAATGGATCCTACCTGTAGCCTGGCATCAGAATAGAGACGGGATGAAGATTTCCAATTTTCACTCTCTCGGGATCCTTTGTCCTGAACATGTCGACGCCGCTTTTTTGTGGCGTTCTGCTATTTATCGCTTCATCCCGTCCAACACAGTCTAGGGCTTCATCTGTGTCCATGCCAAGAGGCAGGACAAGCAGTCCTAAGATTAACAATGTTTTTGGCGAAGGAACCGTGACTCTGAGAAATTTGACGAGGTGATGGAAGATCCAGCGTGTGCAATCAGAGACAGTGTTACACTAGACCCTGGCCGCACCAAGGGTTTAATAGTGAGGGGCCAGGAGGAGGAGCCAAATTCAAAACGAAAACATCTCTAGGGTTTGTTTGGTTTCCTTCAAATTCAAAGAGTTATCATGACCCTGAAGTGTGGGGGTATTCTTATTCTTACCTACCCGGACTGTATTGAATCCCATGATATTGATTGTCCAACCGAAAGTACTGTAAGCGCCGGCAATTACAGGATCGACAAACTTCAACGCATGGCCAAACTCTCCACGGGAGGGGACCTGGGGTTTCTAACCTTTTGAGCTTTTGGGAAATGTCCGTTGGCAAGAGAATGGATGTCTGTGTTTAACCGTGAGATCTGGGAATCTATACCGCCCTCCGGCCATCACACGTCGCCAGACGGTGTCGAGCTTTGGCTTTTGGTGTGATTGAAAGACAGGTTAGCTAGCAAGGAGTTTGCGGCCTACGTTGTTTTATCAGTTCTCTCCCTTCGAGCGGCGACGACCTTCTGAAAGAATGTAGGGCTTGGCATGCGTCGTACGATCTGCTCTCATTGTCGCAGAAAAGAGAGCAGCCTCGCCAATGGTTGATCAGTGTCATTTTTATTTGTTTTGCTGTCTTTCGTTTTATTGTGTTGTCGATGCCTTACGACCCGACCCAAGCTTGGGCCCTATAAAATGCTAATGTTCTTAGTAGCGGAAGCCCAGTTTGGTTAACAGAACAAGCAAAGTAACATTGAATTGGCTTCCGGGTAGGGGGTCACATGGAGCGATTTTAACGGGTACCAGTAATGACCATCTGTGTTCATTATTATTCCTGCTGAACCGCCAGACGGGATAGAAATCCGAAAATATATCTGCCTGGGAAAACCATTGGAAGGACGACGGCGGTAGGGATCAGATGCGATGCAAACTTTAGAATAAGCGCGTTCACTTGCAGGAACGGATAGATGATAGGCCAAAGTGGTCAAAACTTCTCAACAATCCAGTCGCTCTAAAGCCAATCCCTCTACTCCGTAAAGCTTCACACCCTTTCAATGGTAGCTTAAAGGCCGTCTGTGGCTCTCGCTTCCATGTTTTCTTTGTTCCCATGAAAAATCCGTGGTGGCCATCATCGACGTGTCAGGTCAGGTGGGGAACCAACGCTGCAGCACAATCAAACTGCCCGCCCTCAATCAACGAGTGAGTGGTTGACGGGAATAAAAACGGTTTTCCGTCACGGGCATTTGACTGGCTTCTGAAAACCCAACGGGGTTGGCGCGGCAAGGCGAGGCTCTGACTGGCCAGAGATCCCTGCCGCCCAGTCGCGCGGCTTTCAGCCTCAACCGCAGCTCTGGGACGCAGCAGCCAGTCAGAGATCTGATCCATGATGCAAGTGCCAGGAAAGTGCGAGGCCGGCCTGCACAAGACTTGAGCCACCCGATGCCCCAGGCCACAATTCGACTCCAAAATTGGGCCAAGCCGGTCGAAGCCACAGGCAGACCTTCCAAGATCCTGGCAGTGGATAAGCCCGGTTGTCAAAACCGTCTGCCGCGCGACTAGGGAGTTTTCCCCTGAAGAATAGGTCGCTGTAATTTACTCCAGCTTTTCGTTACTGTAAAACGTAACGGTGTCTTCGTACCATTCAGGAATTAGTATTATTATTTATTTATTTATTTATTTATTATTTTTCAAATACAAATGACAAAGGGAAAAAAAGAAAGAAAGAACTGTTATCACAGTGACACAAATAAATGCACAAACTTTGAAAAATGATGATTGATTAAAGCCTGTTCAGCAATTTTCTTCAAACAGTGTCAGTCTGTCAGAGATGCACAGAAAGTGAATATTAATCTTTTAACAGTGTAAATCTTCATTATTGTCATCTTTCTCTATATAAATAGTAACCTGTTTGATGTTCTGATATTACTTATATTACTTATTTTATAAAATTAGATATTAACTAAGATTTAATTGTAGTATATTCAAATCTATATTAAAATTTATATTTAAGTGAATTATATATATCTGTAAATTAGCACTAGAGAAGTCTGAGAGAATACTTCTCTTCTTTTTTCTTCTTCAGTGATTAGCTCTATTTATATCTAAATATATTTTTTATTTATTATTTTTTATATACTATTAGTTTTTCACAGTATTCATTTGTATTTCATAATTTTAATTATTTAGAATATTCAAGAAATAGTTGATTAAATAATAATTATTATATTAAATTAAAATATTAATACTTAAGAAATTTTATAAAATATAAACTTATAAAAAATTATTTTTAAAAACTTAGATAATAAGAAATTTAACCTAGTTATAAAGAAAATTTTAAATAAGATTATTTTTAAGTATAATCTGTCAGATCACGTGATATGGCTTACTAATTCTTTCACCATATAACTTTTCACAAGCTAGCAACCTTTCAATCACACAAGCTTTACATCTTTCACAGGTTATGAGATCTGTTTTGCATAAAATCACTGCCAATTCAGAATTCCTTATCAATATAATCATTATTTTAATTACTGCTTCATTCAATATGCTTATCAGAAGTTAAAATCATCTTATTGAATCAGTATTGATGCATTTAAGATTCTGTTGATCAATAATACTACTGCTCACTTAAAAAAGAGGCTTGCAGAAAATGCATTACATTGCAAAAAAAAAAAAAAAAGAAAGAAGAAGAACAATATTAACAAGAATTCAATAAAATAAATATCAAGATAATGAATTCAATATAATCTCATCTACATACATGTTTGCAATCTCATGTTCTTTTTACTGAGTCAGTTGCAGTTAATGATGATAATTCTTCATACTTATACTCTGTCAGTGAACATTCTTCTAAAGCTTTTAAAAGCTTCATTGATAAACACTCTGAAACACTCTCTCAATTCAAAGCTGATTTGAATACAGCTTCTGACATGGTCAGGCCGGCTCTCTGATCTACTCAACAGCTTGATAAAGCTGATTCTCTTGATAAGAATAATAAACACTTAGATATCTATCATTCAGATGAGACAATATCAGACTAGTAGATGAAACATCTCAAGATAACATTTGAGATGAAGAAGAAGAGATGTAGAGTTCTAGAACTTGAATTACAACTGAAAAAACTCTGTTAACAGAGATTCTCATTCTCTATAGATTAATTACAGAATGTTAATAATTATTCTATCATTATCTTAACAGTCTGTACAGTCACATGAGATTCTAATCTCAGTGAAAGGTTGAAATTCAATCTTTATAAACTGAATAGCTGTGTTGACAAGATAATCTCTCAATTTAAGAAAGATATTAAGAATGCTGTGAGATTAAACAGTCTAACTGACACATTCAATTACATCACATGAAGCATCTTCATGAAATTGAAACTGGTTAATGCACAGTGTTGATATATGATAGAGAAACAACAGACTCAGAACTCTCTATAAAGAGATAATGAATGAGTATCATTCTGAAACATCAGAAACTGATGACTCTACACATTCATCTCAAACTTCTTGAATACAGGTGTCAGACTATATTTCTCCAAATATAATGAAAATCAGATCACTTATACTCTCTGAAATACAATTGAATAGAAATACTCTATTTTAAGAACACAGTTACACTGTGAGACAGTTCTGAAATTCAAGTTACTTGATAACACACAGATCATCAATTTACACACATTCTTTGATAAATTTCAGTCTGTTATTATGAAATTGAAGATGTTGAATACTTCTCTCTTAGATGTATGAATATTTGATATCTTCTATTCAGTTCTACTCAATAATTGAAGAGATTATATTCAAAAGAAGATAGAGAAGATACAGAATTTCAAATTCACAGCTGTGATATTGAATGTTGATCTTCTTATGAAGAAGATTCACTCATGACTTAATTCTTCAAAAGATAAAAAGAATCTACAGAATACAGATTCTGCAGCTAACACTACTACAACAGCTACAACAGCTACAATGATCACTACAGCTATTAATTCTAACAATAATACATTGAATTCGGCCTGTAAAGACTGTACTGAATGTGATTGTGACAGTTCACAAGAGAGCTTCTGAAATCATCAGAGATTGGGAAATTCATCTACATGTTCTGAATACAAGAGATCTCACTTTAACATCTGTTAATTAGTCAATTCTAACAGTACTCTGAATAATTGAAGAATTTACAACACTGCAAGAATAAAGAAATTTAAAGAAAAGAAGCAAAAGAATAATAGTGAGAGTGAGATTTAACTATTTATTACAGATGAATCAGAGACCTTTCAGATGACAAATCTTGCAGAGATTATCAATATATCAGTCTATTTCATGAAATCTCACAAGGATTCTCTCACTATATAAGATAGTGACGCCGGATGTCATATAGCAAGTGATAGATCATGATTTTCAGAACTTATAGCAATCAATGATTCAATAGTTTAAGTAATTAACAAGATTATTCTGAAGATTCAGAGTGTCAGCACTGTGTTCATTCTGATGAGTGAAAGATTGATAGAATTCAATTATATATACTACATACTGAGACTATCTGCAAATCTGATCTTCACTGAGCTTATAAAGCATCAGAACTATATTCACTGTAATATATAAGTTATTACTGAAAACTACTTTGAGTTTCTATCATCTATTAACAGTGATATCTTCTACATTAATCTGTCTTATAATAACATTGACATTCTTTTCAACAGCTTACTGATATTTCATAATGTAATGAACAATCTGATGTATAAAGCAGTGATATATATAACTGTTCTGAAATCAAAGACAATCTCAACAGATTGTAATTTAAATGCAGAGTTCTTAAGATCTTTCAGCTATAAGAAGATTGAACAGTTAATTAACTCTAAGAATTCAGATACTGATTTCTTTATTATTTCATTCTCATCTTAATTATCTGCAGTTCTTCTGAAATAGCTTCTGATAGATGAGTGATATTATCAACTTGATCATATCAGTGAAAATAGTATAATGAAAATGATCAGAGACCTGTGATTTGATATTATTATTATCAGTCTGAAAAAATTATTATTCTGTGTTATATGTATTAAGATTAAATAGAAACACACTTTCTACAAGAATTTCACACTATGTTGTGCCACTCACAAGGCCTTGAAGATTTGAGTAAATATATTTGATAATGATGAGACTCTTGAAACTGAGAATGATATATCATCTTACACTGACAAGAAGCTTGCAATGATGATAACAGATGATGTCACTTGTATGAGATGAATATTTCTATTGAAATGCAAGAATGAGATGTTGAGATATCTATGAATCTTCAATCAATTTATCAAGAATCTGCTGAGATGTAGCATTGTGATCATTCACTCAGACTGTGAAGAATTGAATTTGAATACAGTCACAGCATATATACTCAGTAAAGAAATAAAATGAGAGCTGATTTCTTCTTATACTTCATAGTAAGATGAAGTATCTGAACAATCAATTAGTTTAATCATTGAGAAGTCTCAATCACTATTAATAGACTCTTCAGCTCTGAAAAAGATGTGAGATGAGGCAGTTATTACAGTCACAGAGCTGCTTAATCTTATGTCAACCTCAATGATATTATATAAGAGCTCTGAAAACACAAAGTCAATTACACTGTATGAGGCCTGGCTTGAAGCTCTATCTTCTGCACGCGGCATTCGCTGACGAGGTTGCAAAGCATTCTTGAAGATAGTTCTCAAGCTCATCAATAAGATGGCCCTCTGTTTCAAAGAGTTGATTTTTGTGAGATATAATGATTTTATTAATTATAGATTGATAAACCCCTTCAACAGGTATTTATACATATTAAAAGATGTCATCTTTCAGGAGAATCTTCATCTTGCTGATTCATTGATACTGATAACACACAACTCAAAGGTTTTACTCAATGCAGTCTGTAAAGCAGCTGTGATGATTTCTTCAGTGACATCAGACCTATTTACTGCAATGATTTCTTCAGCAATTTCTGATTCATCAATTGATAATCTGTTCATTGATGAGAAAATTCAATCTGAGTATTCATTATTTCTCATACTCACTAATAATTAATGAATTGACTATAATATCTTCACAAGAATATCTATCTTTTTAGTGCAGAATACACTGAACTTCTCAGAACTCACAGTTGAATCTGATGATTCTTTATCATCTATAAGAGATATCACTATAGTG